GAAATCTGTCGCAACCTATTATTATCATTTAATAAAAGTTTTCTTATGAAAGAAAAGAAATGGCAATGCCTGTCATATTTCTAAAAAGGGGTCAAGGGTTAGCTAATATTACTATAATTACGTATAAGTATATAATAAGTTTAAGATTATTACTTCATTTCATTCCTTGTTCATTTACTGTATATTCAGGAGTTCTTAAAGGAATAAAGATTACCTACTTTACACTAACTGTGTCTGTTTAATGTGATTTCACTTTTTCGCTGTATCATTTAATGTTAATGTGTCAGTGGCCAGTGTGACATAAAAACTGTACCCACTAATACCAGTAAAATCTGACAGCAAAAAATCTCTGAAGTTTGCTGACTTTGACTCTCTCCCTGAAGTTAAACCACCATCTATGGCAATGTAGAATTAAGATTTCACAAATTCAGGATTACTTGAGCTCTGCAATTCATGAGCTGCGGCTGAGATGAACATACAAAAGACATCTATGCTAAGATGAGATCAGCCCTGCACAAGATTAGACAAACCATTGAATCAAAGTGTTTTCAGCAGTTTAAAGACACTGATGCTCACTTAAAGATTACGTTTACATATACTGAACTCAAAGAAACATAATTAGAGACGGGGATAAGAAACGATTGTACACAATCATTAAATGTACTTAAGTTTCTCAAGAATTGTCTGTGTGAATCTTAATCATCCATATTAGTAAATGGAGTTTGCTGAATTAGAATTCCAAGTGTACCTCCAACCACCTTCAAGCCAACAAGTGGTATAATCAACCCAACTACCTAACATGTCTATATGGTCTCCATGAGAATCTTGTTTTCACAAAGGAAATTCTAATTGGGTGTTAGCAGATAATGAACCTAAATCTAAAAAATGTCATTGGACCCCATTTGGATGTTCAGTTGTCAGTGAAGAGGAGCACGAGTTAAAGTTAAAAGCATTTTTTTTTATTCATTGTAAAGTCATGTTATGAATATAATGACACCTTAACAACATATCTGGCCAATACATGTTTCCATATATTGTTTGTAAGGAAAAAGTTCACATATATATCAGATTTGGTCCTTGTGTTTTGCCTCCTGTTCTCTCCTCCTTCAACTGATAATTTACACTAAATCTCTACATACAGCAGGGTGGCGCCTGTAACTGAAGGGATGTGAAGATAGAAAAAAGAAGTAAGGATCTTTACAAAGTTAGTGCGATACAATGGGAGCTCAAGGTGTTACAAGCATATTAGACACTTGCCTTAATGACACATCTAATCCAAGCCTGGAGGGAACTGCAATAGGTACATTCTTCTATTGGTATATTTTGTGTTGAAGAGACTCAACTCATTAACGCAAAGACATCTTTTGGGTTTTGGAGCTTAGGTTCTAGTTGTGAAGGTTGAGGTGGACACATCAGAGTTGTTATAAATGTGATGAATCACGAGCTCTGCAGTTTGTTAATAGCTGATCACGAGGCAACATGAAAACCGGTTTAGCTAGAACACCATGTATTATTACTGAATACCCACCTGGCAACTTTTCTGTTGCCAGGTGGGTATTAACAGAAAGTTCAGCACCTATTTTAGCTAGAAGAGAACAAAAATCAAATCAAATCAAATCACTTTTATTGTCACATCACATGTGCAGGTACATTGGTACAGCACATGTGAGTGAAATTCTTGTGTGCGAGCTTCACAAGCAACAGAGTTGTGCAAAATACAATAATGTAAACAAGCAAAATACAAGAATGGCTACATCTGAAACTAATAAATATATGTACAATATATAATAGTATATGCCAGAGCTTACATACATACAGCTTACATAAATACATCAGAGCTTATGAGAACATCTCTCGGAAAAACTTTGTTTTATTCAAGAGTGATGCAGCTTTTAGGACGGATATACATGATATAGCTAAATCACATCTCCCCTGCTAATGGCCAATTCAGCTTTTGTTACTGTATCAAATAAAGTCACCATGACATGTAAAATTAGCCAAATGGGAATTACTGTAAGCTGTACTTCATTTTAAACAATGTGGAGCTTCCACATTCCACGGGAAGGAAGGACACTAGAAGTGGATAAAAAATAGATTTTACTTTTACTACTCCTCTTTCTTCCTGAGAAAATATGCTATTTACCTTGTGCAACACCATATTATCGGAATGAAATAAGCAGCTCCGTTTTCCTGCAAGAAAAAACTGCAGCCCATTTCCTGATGAAGAGCTGCTGAAGTGGAACAATTGTCCACAAGAGCAATATGTGCCCATATTTCCAGTGTCTGTCATAGCCTTTGATAAATGAATGGATTTTCTGTCACCTACATTTGATTCAACATCTCTTGCCTGTACAAGTAGAAGATCCATGCAGTAGTACAAGGAGGATGTTGCTTTAGCGACTCATATATTCACTCATATAGTCGTCATTTGTTTTATGAAACACATGTTTACAATGAGTCTTACAAATTTTGTTGTATTATATTCAGTAATAGGGTGGGTATTGACAGAAAGTTCAGCACTTATTTTATCTAGAAGAAAGCATAAATACAGAAGAGCTGATGAGAAAATCTCAGAGAAACATAACATAGACTTTGTTTTACTTGAGAGCGATACAGCTTTTAGGACTGACATAGATGATATAGCTAAATCACATCTCTCCAGCTTATGGACAAATCAGCTTTGTTACTGTATCAAATACAGTCGCCATGACATGTAAAATTAGTCAAATGGGGAATACTTCACTTTAAACAATGTGGAGCTTCCAGATTCCACAGGAGGAAAGATACTAGACATGTATAAACCTAATAACCCAATAGTTCTTTATTGTTTTAACTACTATTCTGCAGTCTCATAACAAATATAAACAAATATAAACAACGAGAGTAGATATACTAAACCTGTATTCATTAATTATTACATCATGCTGCCGTATTTATTCGTGACTGTGCTATACACTGCAAACAAACCTGTGACAAGTGCCATAATTTGGTTACAAGAAGAAGTTCCATAATTCCATAGCTTTGCCTAATAACAAATGCATGAACGTTTTTTTAAAATGTTTTGTTTATTTTATTTTTTTGCACTTTATATCAGTTGCAAGAAAGTAGCTGTCTACGTAAGTAATCTGGGTTCTACAGCTTTAAGCAGCTGCAATCACTTTCTGGCAGACAATCACTGTTCGGCACAACACCGGCAATGACTTTGCAGACATCCTGGAGTCAATCGACAAGCGATTGTCCAGTTTTGATGCGAGGATGTCCCTGGTGGAGATTTCACACCGGGAATTTAAATCTCTGAGAGAATCCCTGGAGACTGCTGAAAACGCCACGCTACGGGAGTCGGTCAGATCTTTTACTGAAAATGTGACCCAGCTAAACATAGAAGAAGAAAAAAAGAGAGACTGTTATCATTTACAAGCCCGTAGCATGAGAGATAACCTTGTGCTCTCTTGTATTCCAGAATCTGCTGGAGAGGACACGGAAATAGCGGTGGAAAAGCTTCATTAAAAACACCTGGAGCTGCCTGAGGACACCGTGAAGAACATCGCGTTTGAAAGAGTGCATCGTATCAGGGCCATGAGGTTAGCGACTGGGAGACCACGTCCAATTGCGACCAAATTCGGCCACTTCAAACAGAAGGAACAGGTGAAGAGTCGCAGCAGAGAGCTGAAAGGAACGGACTTCAGCGTAAACGACCACGCCAACGAGATCCTGGAACGACGCAAGGTCCTGTTCCCAGTCCGACGTAGCTTCATCCAGAAAGGCTCCCGCGCTGTCATCGCTGTGGACCGACTCTACATGGACGGACAGCTCTAGCACGACCCCGGCATCACTCCGTGGTTGTATTGACTTCACTCCAGATAAGAATCCACTACACTCTTTTCTTATCCACTCACACTCTCTTGCATTAACATGTGTTTAACCTAGCAATACCAGTATGATGTCATAGCAGATATAACACTGTCACCCTCCGTCATTGTTAATTGGAACGTTTCAGGTAATTTTTCTTTTTTCTTTTTCTTTTTGTCGCATACCATTCTCGTTGGTTTTTTTCTTTCTCCTTTCTTTCACTGTGGATACTTTGAAAGGGAAGTTTCAGTTCCCAACCAGCTACAGCGCAAGTTATTTGCGCTCCAATCATGAATATATCACATGTGAGTACACATTTGATATATTCTAATATTTGGTAAGTCTAGACCCCTTACTGAACCTGGGAGTGTAGCCATCTTAAGTTTTGGCCTACGTTTGCACCATATAAAAAAGCTTAGCCAGGCATTCAGACCCTTCATCACCCTATTTGAAAATATAACCGGAATCATTTGGACAGGATATAACAGTCAAGGCAAAATATTCACCCGAGTGTAGTTTTATATAATGCAGCAGGAAATTTTTTAAGCCATATGAAAAGAAACAATCTCCATATATTGACAACATAATGAGATTATAAAAAAAACTATTTAAAAAAAGATGAAGCATTTTATAAAGTAGTTGTTATAATGAGTTTTTACAGACCATTATAACAACTTTTAAAATGTGTTCACCATCTGGGTATCGACGTAGAATATTTTTCAGGTAGTCATGAAGGGTGGCGCCGTTGCTCCAAAAAAAAAAAACTAAACAAAACAGCAAGATTAAACAGAAAAAAATTAAACTGGGGTTAAAATTCATATATACACGAGGTAAGTGCTGATGAAGTGATGATGGCAAGGATAAGGTCAACAAAAATGTATTTGATTTTCATGCTTAGCTATAAAGGGTTTTGGGGGTTTTTTGACATTTTTATTTATTTAAATGAGCTCATACATCGTCATAAAATTAAATGACTTCATTCCGAGATGTAATATTCACAAGTATATTGTACACAAGAAAAATCAATGACGTAATTTCGATGATAGATGATGACTGGTATAAATGTGTATTTTAAATTTTGCAGTGCTGGTTGAAAAATAGGTATCTGGTTACAAAAAGCTGAATTTATGTATGTATATATTTGTCAAAAACTAATCACAAAACAAAAGCTTCTACATAGCTCACTTGCAAATCTTCTTTCCTGCTCTGTAAGTATTGAAAAAGAATTACTATTATTATTCATTATTATTAATATCCATCCCTACTCAAGACATAGGAAGAACAGGAATGTGTCATGTGAAGGCTGTGTGCAGGCAGGAAAAGGACCCAAAGTGCAGACTCCGGAGACAAACGTGAACTCAAACAGAACAAAATTAAGAATTCCAATAACTTACACGAGCATACAGAACACACAGCATATATGATGGTAGATCGCGACACGGACACAGAGAAACACAGGGCTTAAATACACAGATCGCTGGATTGGGACACAACCCATATATACATAGCACATGATGAGGCTAAGGGAGAACAGGTGGGAAACATGGCAGGAACAAATCAAGGTTAACTAGAAAAAGGGAGCTAAAGTGAAAATGACATACAAAAGGCAAGAGGCAAAAATAAAACAAAGTAACAAAATCACAAACAGGGATGGAAACTTGACAAGGAAAGGGGAACACAGGGGAAGGCTGATACCTGAAATAAGGGAATAAATACAAAGCAACAAAGGTCAAGAACATAACCTAAATATTCTAGACAGAGAATGTCAAACAGAATTTGAAAGCCCAAAACTGAAAACACTGGGTGAAGACACAGGATCATGACAACTTCTGTTGTCATATTGTGCATATTAACAACAGAAGTACAAGGGAAATGACTTGATTTCGGAGTAGGCTTTAATTGGTCATTTGAGGAAGAGCAGTTTTTTATACTTTAATGTCAGCTTTTCAGACCATCCACCTCACACCTGAAAGTCTGTTTGTAATGGAGTTTAAATGCTGTTATTTTCTTTTGAAGGCTTTGGGAGTTTGAATTAGAGGATTTTGAGGAAGAAGAAGCCAAACCTCTTCTGAAACTGGTAAGACTTTAAAACTCACAAGAATTATAATTTGGAGGGGTTTTTTTTTTCATTATGTTCACATAACCTCTAAACAAAACTGCACTGTATACGTGTTTTCTGTTTTAAGTGTGGGCAGTGAATGTAATTAATAAAATGAGGGACAGAGTTCCCAAATCCTCCTTAAATTTCTAGAGGCCATACTTCCTTTCAGTAAGTCACATCTGACATTCACAGGAGTCTTTACTAAAATATTCAACCTGTCCTTAACACAGGCCACCGTTCCACCCTGACAGAAGTCCTCTACCATCATCCACATTCCAAAGAAAACTACCATCCAGTGCCTAAACGATTTCCGGCCAGAGGCTCTTACTCCAGTCATCTTGAAGTGTCTGGAGAAACTGGTCAGAACTCAGATCATTCGAGGACTCCCAGCCACATTCGATTCCCACCAATTTGCATACATGAAGAACAGATCAACAGAAGATGCCATATCCACAGCCTGACAACCCTAATTCATTTAGAACAAAAGGACAGTGACGTCAGGCTTCTTTTTTTTTTATTTCAGCTCGGCTTTTAACACCATAATCCCTGCCATGCTGGTAACCGAATTGCACGACCTCTGCCTCTGGATCAAGGACTTTCTCAGTGACCGCCCATAGAGAGTCCAAGTAGGGCCCCGCCTATCCTCAGCACTCAGCCTCAAGACCGGCTCCCCTTCAGGGATGTGTGCAAAGTCCTCTGCTGTACACCCTATATACTGCAACACCATCCACCTGTACAACACTATTGTGAAGTTTGTGGATGACACAACTGTAATCGGGCTTATCACGGCGGGAAATAAGTCTGCATACAGGGACGAAGTGGAAAAACTGTCATCATGGTGCAGCCACAAAAAACAAAGAAATAATTGTTGACCTCAGAAGGAACAAATCTGACCCTCAGCCCATACACATAAATGGGGACTGTGTGGAGAGGGACTCTGCCTTCAAGTTCCTGGGCCTGAACCTGGGTGATGACCTAACCTGGAAAACAAACACTACAGCTATGATTTAAAAGGCACAGCAGCGACTCCATTGAAAGCACATTGACATATTGCATCCCAGTGTGTTTTGTACTGCTCAGGAAAAGGTAGCACAGAGAATCATCAGTTATGCTCTTCACTCTCTGGAGGAGCTGTACAGGTCCCGCTGCCACAGGAAAGCCTGCGGCATCCTGAAGGATACATCCCACCCCACCTGTCACCTATTCCACTTGTTACCCTCAGGTAACGACACGACACGTCGTTACACGGTACACGACAATAAAAGCCAAAACAAACAGACTGAGAAACAGCACATACACCGGGACTGTTGCATTAACAAATATACTCAGGGATAAACCACTGTGAAAATACAAACTTTTAACTGTGCAATATATTCTAAAGGACTAATCACTGTACGACAATTGCATTTTCACTTGTTCATTCTTATATACTTTTGTATACACTATATTTATTTATTTATTTTTTAATTTATTGTACATGTATACTTTTTTCCCTCTTAAAGGTGTGCTCTTTTCATTTGCACTGAACGGGGTTGCATTCAAAAGATTCTGATTCTGATGTTCTTCCCAGTGAAGAACCTTCTTCCGAAAGTCTGTCAATGCCTGATGTTCTTCCCAGTGAGAAAGACGTTTGTGAAAGTCACAGTGCCAGTCACTGATGTTCCATGTGAGGAGCCTTCTGAAACTTCATCCATGTCTCAGTCTGTAACACACACAAAAAGATTCTAGGTCTGACCAACCTCCTCAGCCGTGAGCAAAAAGATGACAGTCAATAAAATTCAAAAAGATAATTTATTAACACAATCAAAAAGGTAAAGGATTAAACAGCCCAGTGTCCCATTGGCAGATCAAGTAAAAACACACAGTCCAAGGCCAGAGCAAGCTATGCCACAATGCCAGTTGCACTCCACACGTCGACTTCAACAGAGTTAGGAGTTGTCCTCTGAGACCCACCACCCTGTAAGTAGATAGCCAGTGGTCACTCCAGCCTCTGCAACTCAGTTGCCTTTAGGCTGTGGCATATAATAGGCCCTGACCTGCACAGAGAGACAAAATAACACCTTGAAATGTGACACACACACAACCACTCCCAACCCAGTGCAACTTCACACAATAATATGGAGATGAATTAATACAGGCACATTACTCTACCATGTTACACCGTCAGCTGTATTTGTTATCAGTGTAACAGAGAAGTCAGATGACCATAAAATCAGGAAGAAGAAAAAGAAAGAAAAGAGCTTTGCAATAAATATTAACACTACTCCACATCTTTGTTAAACTAAAAGAGTTTAGGTGTATATAAATCTAAAGTTGATCAAGGTGAGTAAAAAAAAGTATAATAAAAGTTTTTTGTGTTTTCACCTCTAAAAGTTACTCTACACGGTTTACAAAGCACCTTATTTTCCTTGCCATCAAATTCAAAATGTGTCCATCATAAATGAATGCATGACAAAAATAACTATTTAGATTAAAAAAATGTCTTTATAACTTTAAAGTTTAATTCATTAATAATTGCTTATACTAAAGCATGTGTGAAATAGAGTCACTATAGAATTTGGTTCATTTATTCATAATTTTTTATTTTATCCAAACTTAAACTTTCTGTGGATATCAGCAATTTAATCTTTCACAAATGAGAAAAGGAAAACCCACCAGGGAAACTGCAGATTACCCAGGTGGGTTTGTCGTACCTGACCAGAAAAATATTGGATGTAACTTACATACGTTAAACATGCATGATTGTATTATGTGATTGTGGAGTTTGAAAGAGGTTTAAACTTAAGATTCTCGAACAAAAAGCCAGCATATTTATATAGAACAGTTAAATAGTGACAATAATCTTAAATTCATGTGAGGGTGTACAATACTGTTCAAAACTCTTTGGCAACTCACAAGGCACCAATCTTGTCAGGATTGGTGGAATTAACAACACAAAAAAATACCGTCAGATTTGTTCCAGCATGCAGTATCATCTGGTAAGGGTCTGATTGGCAACAGCTTCATTTTTCAGCCTTACAATGATCCCAAACACACTGCCAGTGCAGTAAATTCATACCTGGATAGAAAAACACAGAGTGGAACACTATCCGTCATGGATTTGCCTCCAGCTCTGTTCTAGTCAAATGTCCCTGTAAGTAAAGCATAAATAAGTCTTATTAATTTATTCTTTACACCTGATCTTTATTACCCCTGAGCACTCACATACTGCAACAGATCTTTTTTCAGGCATTTTGATAAGAAATTGTATTTGGAAAAAAAGTGATTTGGGAACCTTAATGATGGCTCTGTACCAAAAAAAAAAAGCTACAGATTTTCTCACAAGGTTAATAACATGTCTACCAACTATTACCTGTTTAAATAACTTCTGAGCATTACTCCAAATACTTTATTTGGTGGCTCCTCATTAAAATTTTTATTTATTTGTTAACATGAGCATCAGTTACTGTGTATTTTTAACGCCTTAAATTCAATGTGATACCATTATCCTGCCTAACAACCTAAAAAGCTCCAAAAGGATTAAGTATGGAACATATTATAAATGGAAAATCATATATTGCACTCCAAACACAGTTCACTATCAGTAACATC